GTGCAGTGATCATTCTCCTACTTAAATTTTTGCTTGCTAAAAATGAGCTGTGAACTGCCTGATCACCTTTAAAAGAATTTCAGAACTTGGCTTTACCTAAAAGTTAGTATTTGGAGTCGTAAAATACCGACTTTTGCTATATCCAAAAATATGCAGAACCCATTGCAATGGAATATGACTGCCAGTCTTATAAATAGGATAAAATTTGCTGGCATCCAGTACTCAAACTGAAAACAAGGTATTATGACGGGTATGTGAAAAAATACCTCCAGTGTTACCTGCTTTTGTTTTGAAGGGCGTCTTCAAAACTCTTTGCCAGAGTGCTTTGCTAAGCTTTACTATATGAAACAGCTGTCTGGTAATTACAAGTGAAGGAGGCTAATGAAGCTGAAAGAGGTGTTTACATATCATATCGACCCAATGTCTATCAAGAGAGATATCCAGACCAATAGCTGTTTCTTCATCCTGGATAACTGGATGATGATACAGGCAGCCATCTGGTACCTGCCCTTATAGCAAGAGTCAGGGAGGTTTTTGTAGTACTTCTTGGATTGGTAGTAACTACACAAAGACCTACTGGTTTAAAGTTTATGAAGATGAAGTGCCAGCTAAATAGTGCTGAGAGGCAGTAATTTGAGGTGGCCAAACTTCCTTTCTGTGTTATAGCAGCTTTTTCCCACCTCACACAGTCTGTATACTCCCTATTCATCACACAGTTAAAAGTCTGATCCAGTCTTAAACACCCACATCTAAATTTTAGTTTTCACTTGACTGAAATGGCACAGTTGGATTTTCACATTCAGCACACTCTGTGATGATTTGTCCCTGTCTCTGGTGCAACACAGCATCACAATCGGATTCTGCAGAGCTACTATTTATATTATTGTTATTTATTCTGACTCATCCTGCCTAATTATACATATAGGGAAAGGAACCTTTACCTTGATTCTCTTTTCTCTGGTAATCTTATATATCCAGTTGAGTGGTTGAGCTGTTGCTCCTCTGGAGGACCGAGGTTTTTCCCTCGGGTTCTAACTGCTTCCAGGGCAGCACAGCATCAAGCTGACCAATGTTCTAGTGTAGACAATACTGTACTAGACTGTACTCACTTCATTATAAAAGTGAGTAGCAGGACTCTTCATGTTTATAGTAAAATCATCAAATGTCATGAGGATGGAGCCAGGCTCTTCTCAGTGATGCCCAATGGTAGGACAAGGGGCAATGGTGTGAGCTGGAACACGAGAGGTTCCCCTTAAACTTGAGAAAAAACTAC